TCTCGTGTAATCTTTTACGCTTTCCAATGTTGATTATTAATTGCTCTCTCATTCAATAGATATTACATTCCAATCATTCCATACATATCTTCATATGGAAATAGTATGTTTAAGTAGGCAAGTTTGGTATCATTCGGAATGTTCATGAGTGTTCGTTACAACATACATGTACCTCGACACATGTGCGTTTTGAGTTTTAAATATTCAGGTTAATATTCTTTATCGTTCTGAGAATCTGTTTGGGTACATCAGGTACTGTTTGTTTTGTGGTGTTTCATACTCCAGTACTGTTTGAAGGATTGTTTCAGTCCACCCGCCTTTTCCATCTGTGTGCTCGCTTAAAATTGCTGTAGGTTTTGAATAAAGGCATCGTGTGACTGAATGTCATTTTCGAAAACAGCAATTCTCTAAACTACTACGTTTTCATAATTGCTGGACGGTTTCCATTGAGAAATTAAGTAGACGGCGCGTCTACTTATTTGCTTCTTAGAGCGATTAGAAATCGATTTTCATTGGTTTATGCATGGAATTATAATTTTCGAATGTAATATAATCACAATTCAAATACACTAAATGTTTTCTATTACGATTGTATGGACGACAATTGTATTCAAAACGCGTTTCAGTGATCTACATTGAGTTACAATCGTCTATTTGTTTATGCAAGCAGACTATGGCGCCAAGCTAGTATAACATAAATACTAAACGTCTTTTTACAATATGCCTGCCTCGTGTATAGTTGCTATAGAGTTTTTTCATGTGATTAATCTTAATTACCCAATTTCAATATTTATTTTCTTTGTTTGATATTCAAAGCATGTAATACGGTATCAATGGCATACATAGACAGACTTGACTTAGCAGTCGTACAGGTTTGCTAAATGCTGCGGTCCGACCTTTGGAACATGTCGTTGTCTTAAAGTAAAATTAGTTATTTTGTATATTTTTGTGATGCATGAACTTTCTGTGATTGTAAAGTAATCTAGAACTCCGGACGTGTGGCTACGGCGTGAGAAAATATCAAATTGTTCTGGATCATCAGAAACGTATTCTCAAGATAGTTGGCACGTTCGTCAAAGTATCGTGTAAACGTGTCTTAATATGCAATTTTAATCAAAGTGGAGCACCGTTCGCGTGAAGCTGTCGCGACGGTGAGCAGCGAGCGATGCAAGAGGCTGGTGCTAGCCTCCCATGCGGAGCCCCGCTGTCTGGCAGCCACGCGCCCCCCTGCCCCGCCCCCCTCGCCACATCTCCCCCGCTCGCTGCGATACCTAGCGCAACCACCTCGTATTGCTAATTCATCTACCACCTTATATTCGCTAGGTACAGTAAAGACTCGTCGACAATTCTCTCATTGCCACTTCCCAAGGTTGACTAGATACATCATATATTATTTGAAATCAGAATATCTCACGTATATCTACAGCTTAACCTACTTGCTTACATCTTTCAAGGGCACGAATGATTTTGTTATCCGAGAGCTTTTACGAGGGTACCTAGCAATTTAAATGAATTCCTCTGTCCTAAATGCTTTCTGTCTATGATCTTCAAACTAGAAGACATGCATCACTGCATACATACTAATTCATGATTTATATGAAATAGGTGCCAATGTTCTAAAGTATATCTTTACAGATCGATAGGATTAGCAGCTTGATAAACTGTTGTACAATAAGAGCCCGATGTACGGGATCTTAATAACGTGCGAATTTCATACATAAATTGGACATAATTAGGACGTGAGAGACACTATATTGACTTCTCACGTTAATCCTATAAGTAGTGACACACAGTATCACATAGTTACCTCCGCGTTAGATGATTACTGAGTCCGCCAGATGTTTCAGTTTCACATTTAAACAATATTATGTAATTATCATTATACGGTCTAGCTAATTGGTATCTTAATAGCTATTACCTAATGTTATATTTACCTACATGTTCGACGACTAGTTTTATTTTGTTGAGAAAATACTTTTTAGTCGATTGAACATATTATTGGAGGCTCTAATTGAACAAGTGCGGTGATGGTGGTGCGACCTCGGCCCAGTGCGTAGGTCCGATTGCGACAACGCTTGACACAAGTTGTGTAAGTGGCCAATGGAAATTCCGGTGTCGCCGTAACAGCGGCAAGTGTGCGGGCTAGAGTCCTGTGCGTGCGCAGCGCTTGCCGAGGCCACGGTATGAATGGAGCTCCGGTATGTAGGTCACGGTGTCGTCAATGGGCCGTCGGCAGGGCCCCGCGCAGCCGCCTCATGCGCCCCCATCGTGCCGTGAAAGTTGCCACTACTTTCGCGACTGTCGCTCTCACCATCATCACAATTTGCACTCTAGTGCAACACAACTGAGTCACTTTTAGAGCGACGTCTACTAACGTTCACATCCGCTTCGACGTTTCGTGCGTGCCTCGAAGACTTTCTGCTTCGGCTCGTTGTGAGAACTCTATGATTGGCATCATAAAGTCTAGTTTGGCTTGTGTCACTGAAAATTCGGCCGCGCCGTATGCTCGTGCTTAGGAATTCACTTCCGGGTAGGTCGGAAAGTGAAATGGACCCGTCTGTGATGTAATTGGAATTCGGATGTATCCGGAGTCAGCGTTACTCCATTCACTTATAAAATTCTATAGGTATTGGTTGACATAATAGTCCGCGCACCGCAACCGTTTCCGTGACACAGTAAACAGTTGAAGCGATGAAGCGTAAGATGACTTTTTTCTGCCGCCACTGCATAAGTTATAAGTTTTATTTTACATACCTCTCTGAATGACTTACAGTCGAGCGCAACAGCCAAGCGACGGTACAAAGCTAATTTGAATTTACAATTATCTACTACCAGTTAGTCGCTGGTAAATCATAAATGAAGCCACGTAGTCGTTTTTTCATCGTCATTTTTTTTTTCAGAATTACTTAATTATTTCTATGTAGACCACAAATGTCGATGACTGTCGGCTCGAAAACAATGCAAAGCACCATATCTGTAACATAAAATATTTTTTATAAATTTCATTGACCTACGAGGTATGAGTGCAGTATCTGTCACTTTTAAAGTAAAACACATAGTACATTAATCAATAATAATCAATCATCAATATATTCCTTTAATTTATAATTAGGACATATTGGATTTCAGTAACGCTTTATAGTGCGTGCTTTTAAAGTTACATAATTATATCTACAAAATAACCATTTTGTCCTGCTGCCAACCAATGAAAATAAATATGATGCTAAACACAATTTCTACGTGAAGTAACTTCTTACGGAGACAATTAATAATGCAGCAGGAATATTTTTAGGTTATGAAAATCTTCGAAAAGTAAAATTTGCAGAATAAGATGACTTCTTAGCTATAGAATAGTCTTAATAGACTATACATACTCCATTTATAAACGAAATATCTTTGATAACGTGAGAATTATTGTCCCGCAACTAAACAAATAGATCTCCTTTTTGACATACGGCATCTGTTATTGTAGATCCCCCAGTTTGTGATTCTGTATATTTCTATTTCAAAACCCGATCTCTTCCGTCTGGAAGTCATCGTCCTTTCTTCTAAAATCTAAATTCTATTCGATATTTGCGAATTATTTCTCATTTTCCTCAACATAAGTATTAGCTGAAAGACGTTCAACGCTAAACAAGACTTACTGGCTTCTTATTACTTTGACATCATTGTCTTTGGAACAGTTTGCAGCAATATCTTTAATACTTTGTGGTAAAGTACAGCTTTCCTTGTTGGTACGAATGGAGGTTTAAACTCAATCGATGAGCGATGTACCGTGTGCGGTGTGTCGCACGCGCACGGCGCAGCTTTCACCGAGCTCAAAGGCTCGCACCGCCATGCATGTTTATTAACTTAACCATTTTAACAGGAATTCCCGAGGCTTCCGTTTACGTCGCTATTAGTACTTTTAGCTGTCATGGTACTTCAATGTGTCCCGTTATAGTCATATTACTTAAGTGTTCACTTTTGATGCCTTTTCTTTCTTGCACGAATTCTCTTAAAGTGTTTATACTCATCTCAATTAAAAATAGAAATGAAATGAATCATCAAAATTACAATACCAAGCATGAAGTACAATGTTATGTGTAACTGTCTGTTTATGATTGATTGACACTATATCCTGACTGAAGCTCCCCCTGAAATTATTACTCAGAAAACAGTTTTCCTTATGCATTCGTAGAAGGCAGTCTGAAATACTGTAAAGCAGTTACGTTAGCGACTACAAAGGAGTCTTTGATTGGTACTCCGACATAGTTAACGGTCGCTATAAGTAAGTCGATCGAAATCAGCGAATAGTGTATTATTACGTCATTACGTAATACATGACGAGAGGTAAGTTTTAGCTGCATCGCCGGAACAGTTGAGTTTAACGGTGACCGAGGCTGTGGAGTACTGTTAGTCGCATTCCTAGAGCGGTTCGCGGCCAGGGTGGTAGGTGCAGGGGGGACGCGGCGCCGAGGAATGTGCCAGTGTCAGCACATATCCGCTATTGCTTCTATTTGTTACGATATACATGCTTAATGTTAACGTCGTACACATTCTAAATTCCTATGATTATGATCTTGTTTTGTATTCTTGCTCTATATTGGTACATCATTATAAATATTCGATGTTTTATGCAATTTCTGGAATAGCATGGGTGTAAAATTGACTATAGTCATTGGATTCAATAAAATCTATTGAAAAATCATTTTATTTTAAGGCTTCGATTGATTTATAGATAGGTACTATTGATCTTTATTCGATATCAAAATATTTTGAGTGTTTAAATCCTAGGAAAAACAAGAAAATTGTAACATTAGTACAAAGTCAATGACTTTTTCTATTTTTTTTTTCGTCGATCGTCGACTTCTCTCTTAAATTCATCAAAACTATACGTTTTAACGATGTCATCAGACCTTTTCATTCTGTTTTCTTTTTCAGTTTAAGCCATATCATAACTTTTATAAATCTCAAATTCATTCTGGTATTTACTTGATCTCCTTTTTGTTTGTCTACAGAAATCTGGCGCTGGGTATCGGCATCCAGAACTTCCCTGAAGGTCTGGCTGTCAGCTTACCGCTGCAAGCCGCTGGCTTCTCCGTGTGGAGGGCATTCTGGTAAGGAAACCTAAACATAATTCTGCCGTACTATGTATCTATACAGGTATTACAGGTCAATGCCCTCATCCCTTAAAAGAAAAGTTAAACATAGCTATTAGGTGTGCGACGTACAGCGAATACGGCATTTGAACAAAGAGAATACTTTCAAATTGTCTAGACGCGATTTGCATATTTATGTTAATGCAAAAACATTTCAGTTTTACAAAGCGGACATAATTCTGATAACGCTTTCTTATTCACTGTCATGTTTCATAGCTACTTCGTATTGTTATAAATGTCTTTGGAAAGATCACTTGGCCAATTGTCAGAGTAATAATATATCAATGTTTGACAACATTCCATATACTGGTTCGTGGAATAGGGTTCACATGGTGGCAGCAAGTTTGCCGGGCGGCAGTTAGAGCATGGCGCGCGGTTAGAGAATGCGCCCGCTCGTCGTTAGGCCGGATGCCAACGCAACCAGACTGGACGACCCCATTCCTGTTCAGGCTAATTCATTTAGCGACTGTTGCCGGCCCGACCAACTCGACTACACGCCGAGATTTGTGATGTTCCCTCCTTTAACTACAAACGTGTATTACTTATGCAGATTCTTTCGACTCACACTGTTTTCTCTAAATCTCTGAAAGTCTACATGTCTTGCAAATATCAGGATCATGAGTCTACAAAATTTCGTCTTCTGTTTCTACTAAAGAAGTATTGCCGAAAGAATGGTCTTAAACCTGAGCTTGTCATGAAACGAACACATACTAAATAAGTTTAAACTGTCAGAGCAAAAGGTTACTTAGGCATTGTGGTACGTGCACGCATTGTAAACGTTACCAAATAGGTAAAAGTTGTAAATAGTCGCATTCCGTCGTGTTCTCGGAACCGCTGCCCTGGCGCCGCTTCGCCGGTGCACAGCCCGCGACTAACGAGCTACGAAACACGGTAATGGATATGCCTTTGAAGAATGCTAACAAACTTTTATGAACTAACGCGGTACATAATCGTTATGCCTTCAAAGAATGCTAAATAACTTTTATTGAGGAACGCGGAAACTGATTCGCCGTATATCTTTAAAAAAGCTACATTAATTTTATGATGCTACCTTTTGAAACATAATTTCGGTATAAGTTCAATGATTACGTACAAATTGAAAATATTTGTGCAAAAGTTTAGTAAGCTGTTTGTAGACTGAACAGTTTACAACCGTTATGAAAAAGTAATTAAGAACCTCTGAAATATTAACTCACTTTGTATTTTTGATTGTGAAAGTAAAGTAACGTATCCAAAGTGAGAAGTATGCGGGGCTCCTGTATGGCTACTTCGTAGCTCCTTAGCTGGCAGTGGCGGTAAGAATGTGCTCGAGTGGGAATCCTGGCCGCGGAGTAAGCCGGGAATGTGCGCCGAGCGACGACCCCGGCCGGCCGCTCGTGCCGTGTACCCCAACCTTAAGACACGTTGCACGCGACCGCGGAAAATTAAACGATCATACGTTTTTACAACTAAGCATTTACCCGATGAAACGCAATTACATCGCAATTTATATCATTCTTGACCGCTAATTACACCCAACTAAGCCGACCAGTTAAGCATAGCTCTTGTAAGGAGATGCTGTTCACTTCACCTGGCTTGCCTAAATAGGAATTATAAAGTGCAATTTCATAGCAGACCTGTATGGTGAACAAAATAACAATTAAGATCTTCAGTAATTATTTTGATTAATTATATTTTTGTTACGATATACCTTAAATACAAATTTGGATAATGAAACAATAATGGAACGAGTCGCGAAATGAGCGATTTAATATTCACTGAAAGACAAAATCGTTCTTATTAGGTCACTGAGAGAACTTTTAAAGAGCGTAAAGTGGATGATTTGATATAACGTACAGTAACATCCAAATCAACAATCCAAAACGACAACTCGTAAATAATATTTCAGAGAAAAGCTCATGTTAAAATTAATGTGGGTACAGCAAACGTAAAGACATGTACGATAGTCTGCGGTGCGGAATTCAAGGGGCGAGGAATGTGGACTGAGCAAGAAGTGCTCTGGCCAACTCGCATGGCCCGATACGGGATCGCATTTGCCACCGTTTCGTATATGTTAGCCACCTTTCGAAATCGCTGTTGACATTTTCAACAATTTACATTGAACATTTCTAGTGGATCAATAAGATATGTGTTGTGAAATGTTCTATACACTTGTGATCGATTGACTAAATACTATAGACAATGAAATAGTTTTTATGCTAGACCGTGAATGTTTCATCCCTTGGGGAACTGAAAACCCTAGACATTAGAGGTTTGTTCACATCCATTGAGTTATTTCAGGAGTTCAAATAGTACTTGTGATGCTTTATGGAAATGATCTGTTTATTATCTGAGAGATCAAAATTTTTGTTTAAGGCGGAATTAAGCTCTAGAAACTCAATTATATTCGATCAACAGAATGGGATTGCTGTTAAGATTCATCGAGTTTGACAGCAGTTTTGCTAATGACATTATCGTATGTCAAACAATACCCAAATAAAATGACTTGGTTCAAGTGGGTTTTTACAGCTGTCGTACATATTACAAACAAATTCTTGTCGTTTTGTCGAAGCTACTTGACGCAGTTTTTATGGCATGATATAATAAATACAACCAGTGTAGTGATCCATTGTTGTAGACAATGCGTCTAGTCAACATTTCTCACCGCATGCGCATATGACTCACAGTGACGTAGCAAACCTCATGCTTACGCACCATGTAGGTGCCTCATCTGTTAGAAATACTAATCAATTAAATTACTTAATAACATAGTTACATTTTCATATTAAGACTCATTTGTTAGAATTGAGACATGGCGGGTGACTTTGTTATTTTATCATCTTTATGTATGTATGCAATCGATATGAAATCGATTTACAAATATTCAAAATGGTTACACCGATTACATTGAGTTTTCGTAAGTGTAGTGGCGACGGCGCGGCCAGCGCGGTGGACGGCGGCCGGCCGATCGTCACCGGCTCGGGCCCGAGTCCGCGTGTCTGGAGGCCGCTCTCGACGCAAGCGTCGCTATTTGGTCAGATGGTCATTGCTAACTGGACCCGAGAAAGTCGTCTATTTCGAAATTTGAGTGTTGCGTGCGGTCGGTGTGCGATGTGTCGCTGCGGTGCCGCGGAGTCTGGTGCGGTGCGCGGCAAGCGGACGGCGGCGCGCTGTCTGCGCGTTCTTCCGGACCGCACCCGTTGGACCAGTCGCAGCGCACCGCCCGCTGCCCGCCTCGGGCGATCGGCCTTCACAGTTAAATAATTAAATCGAGTGAGCGACGCCGAGCGCAACCGCCGCCACCGCCGCCGTCGCCGCTGCCGGGCCCCGAAGAAGCTGTCGCGGAAGGCGCTGCCAGCCTTGGTGGCGCTGTTCTGCGCAATCGAGGCCGGTTTGTCGGCCGCATATTGCGTTGTTGCCGCGCCTAATCTTCTCGAACACCTTCCTGAATACGTCAGATACCACTGTTTTAACTTTAATGATGACATCGCACACACTATGACTAATATACTCTTTGGATGCTCGACAGCAATCTTCATAACCTTTATGGTGACTGAATATCGAATTTACAATCATCTGTACCTAACAGTAAACTAGCAGCAGCTACCCTCAACTATGCTGAAAACACGCATCAACCAGCAACTATTGACATCGACTGTGCCTAGTCGGCGACAGCAGTATAAAAGTTACAAAGTCTTGATAGATATAATTCTGGCAGATCTATAAACCACCCAAACGTGTCATGTCCCAACACTATATTCAATGAATATGTAATATTTTTAATGGAAGTAGACGTTCTATAACATATTCTTCTAACTTCTTTAAAGTTTACCCCGTTTCTACAATATAAATGCCAGAGTTAATGTACTGATTGTATCATTAACATTATTATTTAAAGCAACATTTTACTCATGTCACCAAGAATTTCGTCCAGTACCTTTATGAACAATGGACAATTTCCAAAAAAATGTTCAATGTATGTATAAATTCTTGAGCTTTTATTTAAATTCAACGTAGTTATTGAGTGACGGGTATCCTGTTTTATGGCTCGTCGGCGGCTCAACAGTCGACGATTCTGCGAATCAGTGGATATTGTCGCAAATTGCCGCTTTCGCCACCCGCTGAATAATGCATGCGATAACATAACATCACGTCGCGCACCCGCCGCGCCGCCGCAGCGCACTCGCCGCCCGCCCCGCACCTCACAATTTCATCAAACTCGTTTCCCCTCGCATTCCGCCTAGCATTGCCACTACATTACATGTTATCTAATGCAAATTAAAGTTCCCTATGTGCGTGTTATCGTATCCTTACACAACCAGTGGAACTTTCAAATGTTCATACATTTCTTTATTCAGTGACTTTCTATTCAGTCGCGACGGCTTTTCTTTGGAGGTTTCGGATTCGTGGTCAATTATTCAGTTGTAACTGAATTTAGGTGTTACAGTGTTCAAGTGCTATAGTTGAGCCAGTCTGAAAAGTTGAGGCTTTGCCGGGTTCTAAAGCAGGCGGTGGCCTGTTGGTGTGGTGGTTACGCTGGCAGGCAGATATAGGCTGGTCGTCGTGTGGGGTGGCCCTGGCGGCGTTTCCCACAGCAGCGGCTCCTCGACCAGTTCGTCGGAATGTGGTCGCGGCACTGGCCCGCACTTTCACCAAAACAATTCGTTAGCGGCCTCTTTCGGCATCGCACCGCGCGCTTGCCTTTACCCCTCCACCCCGCTACCTGCCACCCCGCCACCCGCACACGTGAAAATTAACAACATACTGATACATGACGTCGTGATCAGTATTTTGAATACGGCCCTTTTGAAGTTCCGGCTCCCTAGCCACAATGTTTCACTTTATTAACAAACAGAACTTGTTAAGTACGTAATCAAATTCAACAACCTGCCTAGACGCACGCTGTGGTAGATATTTTCAGCTGAAAATTGCTATTAACGGTAGGTATCTCTTAATGACTTCAGACGTAATATTCTGGAGATATCTTAACCAAATAACTTCTAAATTAAGACGTCTACGTCTTAGTAAAAGCTCTTTAAATAAGTGAAAGGTTAATTTTGTTGCTGTTCAGGACACTAATGTGAGAGTATTGAAGTTTCATTCTTTACCCTAATTTATTGGATTCATGATTTAAGTGGTCATATAAGTATTATCAACACGATTGCATTAGCAGAAGCTATAAAAAGGTATTTATTCCTTCGAAGCGTACAAGAAACGTGACACGGCCACCTTGCAGCGCTAGTCGTTCAATGGGTGGAATTCTTTAGAGGTTGTCTTTACCCATAACTCGTGATAGATTTATTCATCTTACTGGTACTGTAAAGTGGCCTTAACGACCATGCTCTCGATACCGAAGGTGGCGGCTAACCGAAGATTTACGAAGATTCACGAAGAATGCATAAATTAAGTGAAGATTTTCAAGACGATCGTGTATCTTGTTATAAAATAACGCATCATAAGACCACCAGACTCGATCTAATATTCAAATAAGGGTTAAGAATATAGAAAAGAGAATAAAACCAATAAAACAGCATCCAAACCGATTCGAGGGTGAAAAATACGACCATGGTAATGCATGTACTTACCTCGTATGTGATGCAAACATTAGCGTTGTCAGTTAAATTTTCAGATGGGATCATAAGTACACACATGAATAAATTGCAATGGGAATGCTAATATAATATCGTAAATTGTAATTTTTATACATATTTAACTACTAGCAGCCCGTCCCGGCTTCGCACGGGGTAAACAATTATTTATTTTTGGAAATTTGGACTGTTGTAGTGACATAGCTACAATAGTTGGACATATGCTACCGTAGAGGTTTTGTAGACATTATGATGTTCTTCAATATTGTTGTACATTATTTTGTTCTATCGCTAATAGTTTCGGCAGCGCATTTGACGAAAGACATTTTAAGACTCATTTTTCTACACCTTCGGTTACATTGTTAAAATTTTACCAAGTATCCCTATTTTTATTCAAAATGAAATGTAGCCTATGTCAAATTGGAAGAATGTAGCATTCTATTGGCGAAAGAATTTTTTAAATCGGCCCAGTACTTTTTGAGCCTATTCATTACAAACATACAAAAATAGGTACAAATCTTTCCTCAATATAATATTAGTATAGATAACAGGAAAAGTTTTGTTCTAAGTCTTTAAGAAATGCATCAAAACTGCATAACAATCCGTTTTAGGTTGAGTAGTTGACATAGTCCGCTTCGCGCATCGCGGCCTTTCATTTCCTGTTGTCATGTCAATCCAAACTGGACCCGCCCTAATGTTAGGGATGGTTCTAACTGGCTGCGCCTAGTTTGATACAGTTAGAACTAGGCTTCGGCTTTCAGCCGTGACATTTCACGTTGATTAGCGGAACGAACACTGTCAACTAAAGAACAAGAAAAAAAATGCGCTTAAACTCTGCATGCTTAGTTTAAATTATAGTTTCAAGTTCAACTACTGATTGAGTACAGGTATTATTATCGAGTCTGTAGATTGTAAGATTATCAATTAGTTCGCAATTATTAACAAACATCTGAAATCATATAACCACCGGTGAAATGAATTGGCCCTGTAATTACATAGGACCAACAACTATAAGACAGACATTAATACGTTTAAGCACAGCTTTTAAGTTTAGTCCCTGATCTGAATTTCAAGAATCCAAAGATTAATTAAAAATTTTCCACTCTTAAATCTAAGTACAAATTCGTCCGTTTTCAACTCATGAGTCGACCAGTGTTGATGAGGGTATACCTTACGTCTTTAATACACCTATCCTTTATATCCACGTGTCCTTATCTTTCTTTAATGTTTGTCCCAGGTACGGCCAGTTGTCCGGCATGGTGGAGCCCGTGTTTGGCGTGCTCGGTGCCGTCGCAGTGGCTGCTGCCCAACCAGCACTCCCCTACGCATTGGCCTTCGCCGCTGGTGCCATGATCTATGTCGTTGCCGACGACATCATCCCAGAAGCAAATGCATCGTAAGTATTATTTTCTTTATTAACTCGTCGAGTACCGTCGATACAGACACAATTATAGAACAATAGGTTGCAGTCACCGGTGACCGCTTGGTGTTTGACAGTTTAAATAGGTGGTATACGAGCAGACCGACCGCTGCACCAGACGAGTCACAATTACATTGCCAGCCTTTAAAAAGAGTACGCTCTTTTCTTCTATTAATTATATTTGTAACAGTTCTATATGTTTGAAATTATTCTAAAAGATGTAAAATAAAAGAAAGAGAAAAGGAAAAGCAGTAACGCTGGTAAATCTTACTCGTTTTTTAATTAAACAAGTATAATGGTGCAGTGTAGATCATAAATGCTAATTTAAAATAAATTTTACAACAACAAAACATAAGGTTTTACAATACAGTACGAATTGAACCAATCTTTACACCTTTTTGATCCCCACACAATTAAATTGACATCCAGACATCTTTCAAACTCAAATAAAAGATGTTTTCCCAAACTGGACTCTCAATTCTCGGTCGTACTGATTAGGACAGATAATGGGCTGTTGCGCACACACTACATAGCTCCCCTTACGATACTGACATCAAAGACGTGTCCTTGAAACTGACCCAAAAACTTCCTGACTACGAATATCCCTTTGTTGTAGACCCCTCTGAAGACTGCTCCCACCTTTGAGTTAAGGGATAATGTCACCTTTTATTACGCAAGTTGCTATTCACATACTTAATCATTCAGATCAAAACCACTGATATCCTCCTAATGGATGATTACATTGTGTATGTAGATCATATATTCAAATGATACATTAAACATCAGGTTCTGCAAATTATGTAAACCCTTTTCGTATGATTTTCCTCTAGAAATTTCCACTAACAGCTTTTGTTATTACGTAAAGGAGTCCGTGTTTTCCTCCTGTATTGTATTAAATATAAACTATCTACGGTTACTGTGAATCGGTACCAACAAAAGCTCTATCTGGAAAAGATGAATCAGACACGTGTTGGACAGGACGTAGAACGAATGTATATACAGTAGACAGAAGTAAGAATTACATTAGGGACCGTTATATATCGGTATGAAACTATAGTATATCAAATCTCCGGGCTCTTGACATAATTGGACTGACGAGGGTCGTCTGTGTTTGATTGTTCTGATTCACGTCAGTATTTCGGCTGATATAGATTGTTAACCGTCAATATGTAGAGGTCCGTTGGGGTGAGAGCGAAGGACAAGCTTCCCCTTAGCGACAGTATTGTTGTCCGTCTGGAGTATTGTTACGGACCGGTTGCGACTCCTTTCCGGAGTAGCTTGTCTGTCGAGCCCGTTATCGACTAATTGTTCCGTGTCCTGGGACCAAGCAACAGCTTTGAAAGCGTGGTAACCGCTTACAACGATGTTTCTGAACGTTTCATCCAACCAGTTTGTGACTCGGAAGCTCTACGACAACAATTGTTTTTTTAGTAACAATACGCCACAGCCGTTGAATTGTTTACTTCTGCGATGGTGGGACAAATTGTCGCGACATTTGAATGACAGATACATCAATGGACTTTCGATAAACTCTGGTGATTTAAATGAACACAAGATGTTGTCGAGCGACTTATTGTGTCTGCAGTCTGGATGTCTGGACGTCTAGACGAACAATTTACCAATATAACTGTAAGATACGTACAGGAATGATGAAAGGATATTTTCGTGGAAGCTTTCAACAGTTCTCACGACTTTCATCTGACTGTCAGTGCGTGTGGGAACGTTTATCAAATATAAAATATGATTGCTGTGTCTCCCTACAATTTTGGCGTAGGTGTATGTAATATCGATTCACATTTGAAGCACTTTTCTTCTATTTAGAAACATATTTTTGAATGAATACTAATTGTTATCTGTGGGTCATTATTAGCTTTTTGGTGCGTATCATGGCTGATGTTGGCAAGTCGAGATGATAATACGCAAAAAGTACCTGATGTTAAAACCTTTAATCTGAATCCCAGTCATTAGGTGTCATTTAATTTTGAATTAGAAAAGTTTAAGAAATCCAGTCACCAGAGTGCAATAGACGAAATTACCAATAACGGAAATAAATAATAAACAAGTGTGTACAGAGCGTGCGCGCACGCAGCACCTGACACTCCCTCGTGAAGCACGCGCGCGCATCTCTTAGCCTGATTAGCATTATCATAGAATATGACAACTGTTTGCTTTCCACGAGTGCTCTTCCATGCCTCTTATCGTCTGAGAATATTTTGACCAAATCATATTTATAGCACGTATACGACTTTTTATTGCCTCTTACTGGCTTTTACTTCCTCTATTATATTTTTACCGAAGAGCTTTTACATTGCTTAGAACTTGATGTTAATCTATTAGAAGAGATAGTACAGAGCTCTTACAACATTTCAAAAGTTCAGTTATGAATCGAAATGTTCCTAATGTCGATAAAAGCTTATGAAATTAATGATTGGAAGTGAATGTGCTAAAGAAGCCCGGAAAAGTAAAGAAAAGCTTTTAGAGAGTCAAAGCTTTCTATTTATATTCATTTGATTTGGATGAACTTTATGTGTAAAGAGTTTGCAGTGTATGCAATAATAGCAAGTGAGACAATAGCGTTTTGCATAGCGCGGCACGTGAAGTGTAGGCGCGCAGCGTCGGGCGTCGCGACGCAAATACCCAGCCCGAAATAGCGGCGCGCCGTCTAACACCCCGGACACGAACCCGTAGCGCGACAACATAGCCCGACGTTTATTACCTACCAACATGTCCCACTATTTGTTACTCCACATAATAAAATTAAATTACGACTTTAACGCCAGACGACCCAATTTTTCGTGATTCTAATTTGTTTTATGCATTTCAATGTAGATCGCTTCAGTTGTGAGATTTTTGCGCAGTGTTTAATATAGTAAGTGAGAATGTATCGAAATAGTTAGCTTAACCATGAGTTACGATGTAATAAGTAGTTATAATACACGACATCACTTGTGCAGAAGGTAACTGTTAAGCACTACGTATGTTTTCGAAAAGAAAATGTCCTAAACTATGTGCAACGTATATTGGTCTGTCTAACATTGTCTGATTAAGTTTGTGCTATCTTGACTGAGACATACTTTGATATATTTTATGTAGAAAGTAATCATAATAACTATCGTGAGACATACTAAATTAAGTAAAAACGCGGGTTACTCACGTGAATATACTGAGAAAAGCTCTACTAGTTTCGAACCACTGCACGGCAGTATACAACATGAACTCGGTGCACGGCAGTATACAATTCACCACTGAAGAAGAGAGAGAAGGGATGTTGCCGTTCTTGGATGTCCTCGTAAGACGAGAAGAAAATGGTCGATTGTCACACACAGTGTATCGTAAACCGACACACACGGACCGGTACTTGCGAGCTGACTCACACCATCATCCCTCCCATCTAGCCGCTGTTCCCCGGACCTTGATAAACCGGGCGCTGAGTCTATGCGATCCCCAGTATATTGACGACGAATTTCACCACTTAAAACGGGTACTGGAAAACAATGGATACAACTGGCGTCAATGTACTCGACTTGCGAGCAGCTCGAGTAGGAAGCGACCGGCAGTTGCGGAACGGACTCCAGCGTTCTTACCATACGTGAAAGGAGTAACCGACAGAATCGGACACCTGCTTCGCCGTAAATACTGCATCAGGACGATCTTCCGCCCACCCGGTCAGCTAAGACAACTACTACGCTCACCTAAAGATAAGGATCCACTGGCTGTACCCGGAGTGTACATAATACCGTGCGACTGTGGCTCGAGTTACATCGGGGAAACTCGTCGCAACATCACAACCAGGCTAAAGGAACATATACGCAGCGTGAAGAAGATGGACATCCAGGCATCGGCAGTGGCTGAACATGTTTGTGGTACGGACGCGGCTCACTTCATACGTTTTGATAAGGTCTCCGTACTAGCGAGAGAAAAATACTTCGTTCCGCGAAAAGTGCGAGAGGCCATCGAGATCAGCCGACGACCGTGCTTCAACAGGGATGGTGGCTGGGCACTGCCACCCGCGTGGAAGCCGAGCTTGGAGTCTTCGTCGATCCACAGCGTCTCCAGTCTGGAGTGTGACACAGTAAGCGTTATATGCAACACTGACTTTGTGCCGAACCCGGAATCGAACCCACGACCCGCGCCGCTGGTGAACGTTCCGTGCGCTTTAGCTTCGTCCAACGCGCTGCCGGAGTTGGAAGCAAACGCTCGTAGTGTCCGACAGAGGGCGCGTTGGGCTCGCAGCGCGAGTGGCAACACCGAGGCGAGCGCCAACGCCAGCCAGTGAGCTGCGCGACGTCGCCGCGACCGCGCACGCTGCTCATGAGGAAGAACCCCTCTGTGGTTCGAAACTAGTAGAGCTTTTCTCAGTATATTCACGTGAGTAACCCGCGTTTTTACTTAAGAAAGTAATCAGTTACACTGTAATTATTCTTTTCCGAAACACGATTTGTGACGAATTATTGGACAAGGTGCAACTCTGTACGATGACTATTACCCGTATTTAAACAGGATATAAAAACTAGTCACTCACCGACATTCTTCATGTATCTTGACTTAATTAGGTATGAAGTATACTTTACCATTTTAGTTGTTTATGACTCAAGCTACCATCATCTTCGAAATGTCATGCTATTTCCTGAACACATTGTATAGTTACTAAATTAGCACTCAAGTTGTGCTGTAAAGTTGGTCCGTTATACTGAAATGGCAAACAATAACCATTAAAGGGGTAAAAGCTAGACCCATTAAAGAAATATGAAGCACCACTTCCCATTAATCTCTAAGATATTGTATTATTTTGTGCAGTTAAAAGTGCCCCATTCCTTTTTTATTGATTTTTACCTAATTCAATTACTGAAAGTCAGCAAGATATACTTGTCTTTTAGTTCACACTTCTAATTGAGTTCTATTAAAATTGAACTTGTTTAATTTTTCGTCTATACGTAATGTGGTGATGAGGATAGAGGTCGCCTGCGGTGGTGGTCGGCGCGGCGCGTCTATTTGCAGCGGGCGGCGGCGGGCGGGCGGCGCGCACGCAGGGCGGCGCGGCGCAGCCTCGCGTATTATGAAATAAATTCGGTGCGCCGCGCCATGCGTGGGCTTGTCACCGTCTCGACACTATCAATAACAATAAATATAAGAAATAACGCGTTTGTTGCTAGGATAAAGACGGTGACGACGCTCTAGTTTGTCTATGCGCTGACGTCACTGTCTGGGAATCCAGTGCGCCGCCGGCCGACACTCCCTGACCTACCTCCAGACATCGCGCCGCATATACCCCGTGCACCAGCTTAACCCCTTATAAAGCATTTCTTGGTCGCTGCCGGATCACCGCATAACTTGTTGGGGTTACATTTAATGAAAACATTGAAATTGAATGAAAGCATTAATTAGTAAAGAAATATGTATATTAGATACAGTCGATTTCTTATATTAATGAATTCTTTAATTCATTCACCTTCTAAGTAGAGTAATAGTCTAGAATAGATTTGACGAAACATCTACATAATTATGTACTACATTTCTAAACGACTAAATTCGCGTTATACTTACATTCTATGTTTTATTTTGTACAGCAAATTACAAACTGCTGGAAGATTGAACTCGGAAAATGAGACGTTTCAGACGAGTTCAACATTGGTACCAATTAACTGAATTGCGTATTCAGACGTGCGTACAATCTCTAATTATTGAATAGTTAGATACATTCCGCTGATAAAACTCGATTAGTTTTCACGTCAGCTTCGAGTTTGTCTTGAAAATTCCTCAGTTTTTGGGCGTGATGTCAGCAGCGGTATTTAGGTGCATGTCGTGTCTCCAGTCGGGGTTCCCCACGGCACGTGACCAGAATATACGCCGACCTGTCATACTCGTTAACATGGAATACTCCAACGAATCACGTCGATATGAGCCGGATGTCTAAACTATACTCCACCACTTGAATTTGCTAAACACTTGGCCAATTCTCTTGCAACGTATTATCACATCGTATTCCCCATTGGGTAAGGATGCGATTAGGAATAATGTCCGAAACTGGATTTACCCATCTTACCTAAACTGCTGTTTATATTCATACTCGGCATTAGGTCACCTACAAACATTGATAAACAGACGCTACCAGAATATTATGAATTAAAATGAATGGGCTGCGCAGTCGCATCAACAAACAACGCTCACTTGGACACGCCGCTGGATGTAGACATAAAAGAAATGATTGAATTACGTATACCTACCGAGTTACATCACGCACATAAAGTACCTACCTCAGTTTCTTACTAAATCAATCTATTTCGATTGGGAAATTTGTATTCCGTGATACTTAAGAAACTTGTGAATATTAAAGTTGGACATGTATAACATTATTCGTTACTAGATTATTAACAAGCCGCGGTGGTAAAGTTTATAAAGAACAATCAGTTTACCAATAAAATTGTGTATGTACACAACGTGGTATGTACCTAAGTACTAGGAATCGTTTTAATGTAATGGCCTGTAATTCCAGTTAGTGTATTCCGGCCGGCAGGCTCAGTAAGCCGAGTGCGTGAGACGCAAGCGCCATCGGCGGTCTTTCCGATATCGTAATTTTGCTACCTATTTGATATTCAAATATCGTTTACTCGTTATTTCTCAATGGCCGGCATTGTATGACGACAGCATTTTATAACGGACCCCTATATGTTATTATGTACATACCATTATGTATATCACAGTCAAAGTGCGTCAGTAACGTATTACTGCCTCCTTAACACGAGACATACATTTTAATGTGTTTATGATGTGTCCGTTTACATTGTAATATAAGTTTCCGGCTGTCCGAAACAACACTAACGATCCTTCACGTTTTGGTAATCTCAAATCTAATAAAAGTAGGGATGCGTGTGTGGAAATTTTATCAGCGATGACTAATTTTATCTGTGCATATTTTTAACCTACCTATATGCGTTTTGTGATACTAGGACTAGGAACAATCTTTTATTTAAACTTCAGTCCTATGATCTTGCAGTAACGTGAACATTGAGAAAATAACCTCAACTCTAATTGGAATATGTAATGATATAAATATTTAAATAATTGAAATTGGTGGTACAAATCACGTGAGATACTGGTGATATATAGATAGTGGAAAATTACATTTTTATTGCAGTGTATAGGTATCTACTCGGGGTTTTATGAAGATGTATGAAAATATCTTATTTTGTTCGCAGTGGTAACGGCAAGCTGGCGACATGGGGCTGCATCATCGGCTTCGTAGTGATGATGTGCTTAGACGTGGGGCTCGGGTAAGTTCCACCCGCCGCCACTCACGCCGTGCCTTCACCGACTCACGCCGACTTAATGCTGACTAGTATTAACACTCTGAGATACCCCCTGTAAGTTAGATGTAGATATTTTTGTATAAATTCAAATGTGCTCATCACCGTCTCGATTTTGGATACATTAATCGGAATGGCTTTTCAATTTCCTACAAATTGACAGATGCTACTTACATTATATTCACAGAAAGTATATAATAATTTCAAAATATTCCATTCAATAAAATATTGTTTCGGAATCTGAATTCATCAATAATTTAATTGCATAATGAAGCGATCTCAACTTTTTAGGCGGTCATTAAAAGGTTAAGAATCCATCGCTCGAAATAGTTGCACGGCACACGAGTGTGTACGTGTCTCAAATTTTATACGTTTTCTATAAGTAATTGGTTGTATTCAGTTCTCTAATTGGCTCGCAACAGGTAGCCACGGCGGGCACACGCCGATGATACTTAATAATTTAATCTTTGTATACTGAAAGGAAAGTCTCCAAGCAAATGTTCTATTGATGTAAATGTCAATTGTATCCAAAATCATCATTTGTATACATCATTATACTGATTGTAAGTGAATTTCTAAGCTAGACTTACTGGCCACTGCAGAGCTTAGTAAAATGTTCTTAAGTTTAGTTATATCGAGTAATATTTGTTAATGTGGATCATCGTGTAACTTAAGTTCGATCACTTCTAGATCAGACTAAGTCTCCATTGCATTGTCAAGTCGTATAATAGCATCAATTGTAATCCATGTAACTTGATCTATGAAATAGGACGATAGTTGTTTACTATGCGAAGTTCCGCAGCCAAATTATTTATAATCTTGATGGTGGAATTCGTTGTAAATATGTAAAGTGTATGATAACTGAGGTGCGTAGTCGACGCGGTTCCATCCCGAAGCTAGCCAATTGAAACGAATTGTTTTACTCACATACGTGTCAAATGGCATTCGACTAATTATTTTCCAGCCGCAATATCTATATTGATCCACAGACAAAATCGTAGTAAAAATTCTTGGTGTATTTCAGAAAAAAAATCGAGTATTTCGGAAACAATCGTTTTGCTCAAAAGTTATTTAGTACAAAATCTGTGTTTCTTTGTATATTGATATGTTAAACGAAATTCTTTCTGAAGTTAACTCGTCGAGTACCGGTTTTGTAGACACAATTATAGAACAATAGGTTGCGGTCACCGGTGACCGCTTGGTGTTTGACAGTTTAAAATATGTATCGGGTCATTATAACACATTGCGAATGGCAATGTGAATGTTAGCAGCTCCAGGAATTGTAGTATGGACGTCAGCTTTATCCCACAACTGGTGGTCAAATATTGTAATCCCAAAAATGATATTAATCTTTTATACATAAAAAGTATTGTCTTTAAGATGTATCTGTAAGATATTTGTGGTATTCTGGTAACTTTGGTTAGTGTAAATTTTATTGCGTAGTTACGAATTCCACCTGTTCCTGTACTCTGGATGTTGTTGTCGCCGTATTTATTAGTTTATTATTTTCCTTTTAGTGAGATTTCACTCCGACATCAACGTTCAGGAGTATTTTATTGATTTTAAGCCGACATTTTAAGGCCTGTGCTTGTCAGCCGCAAGCGCAGTACGCAGAGCCATACATATGCATGTTCCCAGTTAAGTCAATTAAATCAATGATTTCACTGTTCAAAATAACTGTGACAGACCTTTCTACTGTTCACAGAACTCAATAATTACTTTTCAACCATGTCTATGTCTCTTTCTTCGAAAGTTGCATTGATATTCTATACCTACGCACCGTGTTAGACAATTAAGTACTAGAAATTTGCGTGAACAAACACAGACCTTATTCTTATATTTAACTAGAATAAAATTTAAAAGACAATATGAACATTTTATAAGGAATCAAATAGCCTTAGTATTTGAAAACATTTATGAATCATAGTAATAGTTGTTAAGTGATGTGAGCTTCTGAGATTTACATGTAGAACTATATCCGTGTACTTTTGCATGTTATTTGTGCTGTTCTAGCATATTTCTAAATAAATTAATTGCTCAGTACAAAAATAATTTATTCATAAAATCCCTTTCTTCTCATATTCTCAAAAGTTCACATCACTCGGTACATACTTAGAATATCCATTAAAATATCCAAAAAATGGTATTGTAAAATTATGTTTATTTTATTAAATAATATAATATTTATTTAAGCGAATTTATTTTTACACGCTTCCAAAGTTTATGTAGTTGTAATGAGAGTTCAAAGTGTTTATTTTGCATTTATTCATCTAACTTGTTTGAGTTACCTGTCACAATAGCACAATTTTAGTTCAAACTACATTGTTACTTAAGATTACTTTCATTGTTTTTATATTATACAAAATGCAGTGTCCGTTTGTGGTATTATTTGAACACTTCATTCCCTTGTTCCCATCCTCCTTTTAACTCGATTCTGTTGAATGTCAGAACTTGATATAAAGCTGATTTGTCCTCCTCCACCCTATTAGAAGAACAGAATCTCCTCAACCTTGTTATATTCCATGTATGAAATCCAGTGTGTATTAACACCAACGCTTATGTATGGTAGTGAATTATGGGTGTGGCAGAAGAAGCATGAAAGCAGGATTAATGCGGTGGAAATGAGAGCCCTGAAGAGTTTGTGTGGAGTAAAATTGCGTGATCGAGTGAAAAATAGAGTTATTAGAGAAAGGTGTGGATTGAAAGATGATGTAGTGACAAGGATTGAAAAGGTAATGTAACGCTGGTTTGGACATGTAGAAAGGATAGATGAAAGTAGAGTAACGAAAGAAGTATACAGACCGGATATGAATGGGGCCGTCGGTAGAGGGCGCCCTAGACGACAATAGTGACCAGCTTGGCGATATATAGTATTAAAGAAGGGCTAAATTAAAAGTACCCTTAACAGACGAGCATGCATGAAAAAATTGATGACGGTTGATGAAGTGAAAGAGGTATGTAGGAATCGTAGTAATTGGCGTTCCATAATCTCTACCCCCATGGGAGATAGACGTGAAGTTATGTATGTATGTATGTATGTATGAAATCCTCCTCCAATCCTGGTATGAAAAGGTGCGAGCACGTTGCAAACACTGGGTAAAACTGTTACAGACAACACTAAGAAGTGTTTGACGATACAGAAACATCATTTCAAAATATTACTCTAGATAATAAGACGCCGTACTCGGTATTTAGTCATACATACAAACAGTTCCCACATCCATCTCCTTAGTTTAAAAATACTCCGTTACTATCCGACCGCCGCGTGTACCAACGGAATGTGATTTTACCTCGTAACAAAAGTTTTCCTTATCGAGTGTATTTAAATGGAACGGGACCGATAAACGGGGCCCGGCTGGGTCGTTAATAAACCTGGTCGTAGATATGTAGCAGCGACACCACTTCCTCTTGTATATAGTGTCATATGTCACCAACGAGTTCAATTTTTTACAATCTTCGTTTATAGACACTAATTCATCCACAATAAGGCTCAGATTGCAATCGTGATAAGACTTCAAACATCACTTTATGGCGAGTTTACTTTGATAACGTTCTTTGGTAAGGTATTCTCTTCTTGTCTGTATCCAGAAGGGTTACAAGCTGGGTGCCTTCTAGTCTGCAGTGAATAGGTTGCTTATTCACAAGCGAGCTATATCGTCAGCTTCATCATCATTATGAGATAGTAGCCAAATGCTGACCTGTAATTAGTCTACAACATCACCATCAGTATTGAAAAAATGTCCATTCTAATACATAGTCAGTGTCCTTTAGTTCTAATGCCGTCAAGTTAAGAAGTGCTGAAAGTATCTCATTATCAGTGACTGTACTGCTACTAGGAAAAGTCCTTAGAAACGAATCGTCCAAATCTGTCGATGAAACTAGTCTCTGATCACCAACAGACAAGGTTTAATTTTATGAAAACAAGCATTACCGACTAGAACAATCGAAAAAAGGAAGTATGGAATAGATATAGGTACCAATTGATATCAGAGTAAGTTTGTGCGGATTTTTCTTACTACCTAACATAAAAAACGATGGCACACAGAACACGGACAGATTATGTAGGTAGTCTAGAAATATCGCCTGCAAGCTATGTGCGTTTTATCCTAGTACAACGGAAGAACAGACGCTATAAGTATAATCTTTTTAAAATAAAGAACCTGAGTAGGTACTGCCTACGATAAATAGAAGTATCTATACTACTTATTGTTAGAAGTATGGAAAGATCACCTTCCTAAACCATTGACTGCACCCGAGCTCGTCTTATCTAACACAGTGATGCTGCGAAACATCACACAACTAAAATTAGGTAAGTAACATTTCGCAGGCACCTAGAAGCACAACACCAAGATTTGCCTTTCTCTGAAGAACTTTAGACAAAAGGAATGCAGAAAGGAATTTGCCCGTCATTACAGCAGTTACGTAAACGCCTTTCGATACCAGCGCCTAATTAAACCGAATTTTAAGATCCTCCTTTAGCGTTCTGATGCCTTAGTACTGCAGATATTTAAGATATTTTGATTGTGGTCTTTTTTAGTGGATAAGTGGTAGAAAATTAAGATAAATTGAAAATCTCTGTGACTGTCATTAACATTTGTGAGAGCTTTAATAAGCTGAAAACGATATATTCTAAAAGATTAACTACCTGTCAATTTCAGTTTCTGAAATGAAAAGTTATGATTATAAAAATAGAGCTATAGAGTTAAATTTTATACTACACAATGTATGGACCTCTTGTAAATAAGAGCCATAAACTCCATAGAGGCAAGAAGGTTGGGAATAGCAGTTTAAAAGGCTCATTTTGTGTGCTGCTGCTACGACACGCACCAGAAGTATAGGCAAGGATGGTGACAAATGTTTTATACTCTACCATTGTCACATGGCTTACAGAGTTAATATAAAAACTTCCTCGAGTCCTTCGTGGAAAAGTGACGTTTTTGCTATAAATTGGTTCCAAATAGTTTGTTACTTACATTATGTAGGTGCCGCTGGAACTTTACTGTTTCATTGGATATTTTATCAAAGTTCCGAGAATCAAGTAATCTATAACAGGAAACAATATTACAGTCGGTTCTCATGTGGCGTTAATTTCAACTAACGATTAATAACTCTCGAGGTGACCGGGATTCGATTCCTGGATCAGCAATGATAGATTGGCAATTTTGCAGTGACTAAACTAGTTGTGGCTGCAAACGCGACTGCTTAGCCGCGGCTAATTGTCAGTTAATAGCACTGAGTTCGGAACGGTGGTTTTTATATGGCAATAGCCGCACTAACTGTTGAATGGGAACATTATATTACATAGGTATTCATGAAAAGTGGATGCTAGATTGAAAATTGGTAACTCTGTCTACTTCTGCGGAGATTAAAAGGCGTGAAGTTTTATTCGAAGCAATATATGTATATACTAATTTTGATATCATTCCTCGAAGCAGTAAAAATAATAACATACCAAAAAGAAAACTACTTTTACTAACATCAACGACAAACATAAACATCATTCCGAAAAATCTTAAAATGAGTATAACTTAACGAATGGCTTTCAACCGAACTTTATCACTTTTATCGCCCAGAGAGCGATAACTGAAGTCGCTACCCGCGCCGCAGCTTCAGGCGGGGCGGGCGCAGCAGTTGCGTGTTCGACGTCGCGTCGGCGGCTATGCATTAGAAAAATCGCTCAAAGGGCGCGCGGCGCTACGCGGTCGTCGACCCCTGCGTGCGCACCCAAACACCCGAATACTTGCGCGTACGCAGCTCCTCTCTCCGCCGCCACCGATAAAACCCTCTGAATGGAATCTGAGGCATGCCTACATGTGGCGGCGGAGCAGGCACGCGCGCTCACTCATTTGTTTTGGAGGATCACACTCACGCCCGCATCGAACTGCGCACTGCAATAACTAACATCAATACACACACACGTCTCCCATGCTCAATTAGATATAATGCTGCTCTAAATTGGTATTATTAAAACGAATTAACTATTTTCCGTGATTTTTTCAAACCCCTATTCTCGTAGTGGGTACAAAGGTACATATAATATTATACAAAATATAGGTACTTCTTACACAAATATTTTAGTTTCTTAATAAACCTACATTCTACGAATATTTCACGTCGATAACTTCTAACCCTAATATCGTATAAATTATAATGCAATTCATTTTCTATTATCTCAAACAAGATCAATTCAAATACTTGTACAGCATCGAGTGTATAGTGAGAGTTGTTTCTGTTACGGGAACATGTATGGGCGATGTAACGTGAAGAAGCCCATCAAAATGATTTCCATTCATTTGTTGACAATGCATGGTGGTGGCGGTCAGAGGGCGCGGCGGCGCGGGGTGCCCCGCGTGCAGTCAGCGACGCGCGCCCGCGCCCCGCGCACGCTGCACGCTGCACCGCGGGCCTATGCACCGCGCACGCGTTCTACACCCGTTTAAATTCCGACCAACTTCAAACAATAACCATACAAACAAAACTCGCCCTTATGTAGTGCGCAAACGGATCACCATTGAGCACCCGAGCTGCGCCGACCCAGCGCCGCCATCGATCACTAGGTTCCCTGCACTCACCGATCGATGGACTATTACAGCTTTGTTTACGTATCGTCGCCTGCGCATAAACACGTAAGTTATGCATGTGTTACATGTCCCGTGTGTGCATTTCACAATGCGCTGGATTCGATGCGTGACTTGTTTGTTTGTTTACATACTGCGTCGCGTCGTTCCACGTCCCATTAGTTGACGTCTTCACTTATATTTTGTATTCAGTATCAAGTGCAGTTCCCCAGGACCCGTAACAAAGTTTATTTTGAAATTGATTAAACATTAGTTGCATCATTTAAATTTAATCAAAAACCGTTAACGTAATGAATTCACGCGGTGTGTCGTGAGACAGGATATTGGTCTCTGTGTGTTGGGGAGAAGGTCGTGTATCGCGCCGTGGTGTTGTGGTAAGCGTGAGTCGCAATTCGCGTTGCAGTCGTCGGAAGTGGTCGCCGAAGCAGGCAGGGTAGCTAAAGGGGCTGCGCCGGCGCACACCTGCCCGTCCGTATATTTGCGTTACAACGTGGATTATTTCGTTTACATGGTGCATTACGCGTTATCTGTTGTTACAAATGCACGTTGTGCGTCACACTGAGAAATGAGAACATAAACAGTGATGTTGCACGACGCTTGTTTACTTTGTAGTGTTAAGATTATTTTTCAATGCGTTAACGTAGGAGTCGGTAACGTGTGATAGGCAATCATCGTGGGAAACTCCGAAGATACGAATCACAAGATAGATACTGCACTGCAGATATCATCTCTCTTCACTATGTAAATAAGAAGACACGTCGCTATAATGTTTATCTCTGAACCACTTGGCACCGAC